ATTATGCCCGCAAATGAATTGTCGATTACTGGAAGTACCAGTTAGCCCGAAAACTAGGTTCGAGATTTCCTTCCAAATACCATCGACCACCTCACACTATATCAAATTCTTTGAACAAATGACCAAATCAGAATTTGCTTGAGCAATAGGATCCGACCAACACTACTGACTAGTTAATCATGATATAATCCACCGCTCAGTAATCGTTCAATATAAACAGCTGAATTTAAATTCAGTTTTGATTGCACAATAGGATCAGTTGGAGATGCTCCAGAAGAATATAGATAACGCCAAAAGACCTAAATTTCAAGTGTTTTATTCAGTATAGAGCTGTGGATACGAAACAGTAAGGAATTCAAAATCGGCATGAAGCAACTGATCAATAATTCCAGGTTTTCATTTGTTTTCCAGTTGATATCAGTCTTTGGTTAAAATACAAATACCAGTTTTGCAATCTGTAATACATGACTCGTTTTATCTAACCACAAGAATGTTTTGAAACATTTATTTCAGATTTTTCAGGAATTCCAAAAATCCTATAAATGTTATAGTTATACTTTTGTCTGTTTACCAGTAAGAAGGGAGTTAAGAACGAAATTACGTATTGATATATGTTCAGACCATAAAGCCAATTAATTAGATATTATTTCTTGAGACATTTATTTTTGAATCGACATCTAGAATAGCTTTACATTTTAGTAACATCCATGAACACTAAACCATAAATATGACGACAAGCAGAGATGGATGATGGGTACCAGTGAAATCCAGGATGCGCGAAATAAATATGATTGCGCAACATTAGGGATTACTGCAATTTTGTAGAATAACTACCGTGTATTCCACTGCTTATATTTCGGTTACAACTGTAATGAGGAAATAATGAAGCATTCCTGTTGTGGCACATTCATGGAAATTTTTTATTAAGAAAAGTTTGAGAAAAATTGGTCACTTTTATTACAGTTTATATCCAGATTCCTAGTCGGCTGAGAAACTGTGTGGATAATTGGGACACGACTTGTTTGAACTGGAATACTAAGACAATGGTAAAAGTGTGAGTAACAGCGAAAGAAATTTGAGGAGTCACTGAATAAAATTCCCAGATTAAGCATGTTCCACAAAATACCTTAAAGAAAAATAAATTTTTCTCCGGTAAAATATTTGAGTAATTCAGACAGCATCCCATCTATCTCGGTTATCAGTGTGCTAGTTGATATCCAAGTCATTTGAAGTAAAAAATGATAATGGAAATATTACTCTAAACAATGCAGAGTGATCCATGATATCACTGAATGATATAAATTGGGATTTATGAATAATTGTATGGCTTAAAAATATATTAATGATAAACTGGCCATTTCAACAGTCTTGAACAACTTCTTACCCAACTTTTTAAACCTTCTTGATTCGAAGAGCGCATCATAACCGAAAGATTTGCATGAAGCGACTCTTATATAACACTTAATTTGACTCGTAATAAAAAATTAAAAATATTTCGTAAAATTAACGACATCTATGAATGGAAACCATCCGAAATAAATATATTTTAATTAATACAAATGTCACCTAATTTAATTAAAATATCAATCAATCTATTCAGTTTGTCTATTAAATACCTATAAAAATGTAACTCACGTTACAATATTTTCAACTTTGTTGTCATTAAATCTGACAGCTACATGATCACTGCCTAACTCCTGCTTGTTTCGCACCTCATGAAGCATTGGTCGTTTATATATAAATATATATTACAATGATTATTATTATAAATACCAATCTTAGTTTTGTTCTGTAAGTAATAGTGAATTTGAAATAATTTTATCTTGTGATAACCAACTTATAAAAAGTTATTGTGATTACACAGATACATAGATACATACATTTGATCTATAAATATAATGATAATCATTAAATTGACACCGAAATGATCGATTTTCCTGGATAAAATTTACCTTTTCTTTAAATGGTATGCTACATTATATTATTGTTAACATCATGCATATATATATATATATATATATATATATATATATATATATATATATATATATATATATATATATATATATATATATATATATAACCGCAAATATTTTAAAGGTACACCATAGTTGACACCCACTCATATTACTTCACATAAAAAATGTCTCTACCATGTTTAGAGTTGTATAAAAATCTGATAGTTGATAACTGTTAATAATGTTTCTTCTTATTCTTGTCCTCTTGATTGTTTCACTCATATACATTAAAAAATGAAATGTAACAAAGAAAAACTAAAGAAACTTCATTATAAGGAGATTTTGACCTTAACCTTCATTCGTTTTATGAGTTAGATCACTCCTTGTTTCACTTAAAACAAAGTAATTCTACATGATACTCATTATTTTCATAAGAAATATTTATTATCGATCATACATGTCAGAATACAAAGTAAAGTAATATACTAATTGATCATACTTACATAAATATTCATAAATCATTTCAATGTTCAGTAGTCTGAAGGGTATGTGTGCTTGGAATTATTGAATAATTACTGATTTGTTTAATATCATAATTCTATTCGATAAAGAAAATAAATTACTTAATTAGAGAGTTTAAGCATGCATTTATCTTTAACAAAACTAGATATATGCTTACTAAACCGCGTACTAAATATACATTTTACATTGATCACAAAATCAGATGTTAAAAGATTTATGAAGAGCTTTACTATTTACTTTGCACATATTTTTTTAAAGAATCATCTTATTTCAGAACAAATTAAGGATCTCTTGTCGAACTTACTAGACATTGTTTTTACTCTATGACTATACTATGCGATAACTCTTTTGATGGTATCTACTATAGCTAGTTAGTAATTGTTATTTGTTCCCTAGCTATGTTGAACAGAATTATTAGCCATTGAAAATATCTAGTTGACACGCGAATATGTAGTAATGAGGACGAAAAATCCTTGAGTACTGTTAAAAATTGATCCGGAAATAAATATTTATTACGTATTCATTGTATTATTTAATGAACAATATGATTGACTGAGAAATCGATTTATCAATACTATTGATCTTACTCACTGTATCTGTGTGAACAAAAGTCTTACATTACACTTGATGCTTGTTTCGGTAAGTAAAAATGTAGCTTATTGAATAGATATTAACCCGTTAAAGTGATTTACATTTCAAAAGTCATTCAACTAAATAGCTTATTCGTTGAGCATTAAAACACCACAACCACCTAGAGATTAAACGAGGTATCGGATAGTACCAGCATCATATGGCAAAACCTTTCAGTAGATGTAAGGCATTATCGACATTTTGCATAATTGAATTGGATGAACCGATGTAGCCAAAGGGAGATGAAAATATTCATTTAAAGTTTTAACTGTTAGTCCTGTTCACGGTATATGTAAACTGTTTCAACTTTTCGTACTACATACAGATTGTCAAGACTACACCTACTGACAAATCCAATCTCTATAGAAACGTTAAACCAATGAATTCTAAAAAATCCATTGTGAAGCAAGTATATCTAAATATAATGAAGTGTCATTTCAGACGGTTTCAAGAAAAGATTCCTATTGGATTATTCCCTTCAAAAAGTTAATGTTGCATTATAGTTTTATGTACTACTTGAACACTGAGTAGTATCCGAAGTCATAGCTACCAGTGTGCGGTACTAATCGAATTATACTGATCAAGTTACAGTCTAACTAATAGCGTGATTGACTTGATATTTTGATACACAGGTGGATGATAGTTTAATGAGGCTATCTTGTCTTCACATATCACACGTCACCTAAATAACACACGGGTAAAAGCGTTTTACTGAGACATTGAGTCAAACGTTTGCGAATGTATGGGCAACCAAAGGTTAATCGACAATTAAATTTACATCTTATCCATAAATGAAAAATGCCGAGAAAACGTGAATAAAATTATGTCTTCTAATTAAGCCTAACCAAATAAAATTTGTTAATAAAGCCTTATTTTCGTACTCGTAATCAAACACATGATATTCGTGTATTTTAATAAATATTAATTGATGAGCTAGCTTAGTGAATTAGTAAACAACCATTTATAGTTGGATAAAAATAAATTTTAGTGTAACACAGCTAATTTTACAGTATAACCCAACAAAATTCACTCTAATAAACTAATTTAACATTAGAATTCAATACGATATATGAATAATGTTTATTTTGGTTTCTCTCAATGTTTCACAGCCATCTAAATAATAAAGCATACAATAATAATTTAGTCTAAAATGAATAGTAATTTAATGGTTGAATCCATGAGTCGATTAAAGTTTGGCCACTATCGTAAACCCGGAAGCATTGAATTGCCGTTTCGTCCTAGTATGGGACTCCTCAGCAGTGCGCATCCACGATCCCACGTCGCGGAATTTGAACCCAGGACCTATCGGTCACGCACGCGAACGCTTGACATATAGACCACTGAGCTGGCTGGCATCCAATGGTGTTAATGTATAACTTCAACTAATCCACGAAATTGAGCGACACACCCACTATTGTCTTTGATGCGTTGTTATCTCACAACAGACCCGATTGAACTCTACTGGTCACTGCTTCTTACTAGAACTCCGGGAAATACCTCTTGAAGCCAGTCACTAGTGAACATATAATGATTAGTAACAGAACAGGTTTTTACGGATATTATATTAATTTCAATAGCTAAGATCATGATTCAATTGAAGCTAAACCACCATGAAAAACCTATAAGTACTAGATTTGAATCTCACGAGGCGAAATCGTAGATGCTCACTGCTGAAGAGTCCCACAATTAAATGAAACAACCGTTCAATACTTTCATGTTTTTCATAATGGTCTAGCTTCAATTGATTCATCTCTTACTTATCAAGAATAATTAATAGAATTACATAATATTCATATGCTATTTATTGTTTGTTCGTTTTTTTTGTTCACTCACTTTTTGTTTAAACGATCAATAAATTTAAAACGAAAATTTAATTTTTCAAAATAATACTTACAATAAATTATTATTATTAAGAGGGTTATTTGAATTTAATATATTAGATATGATTGAATATTGCTTTAAATTTTCATTTAAAACTAATGACATTTGTTTATTACATAATGATGTGTTATAATTATGTAATAAATGAAATATTGTATCTAAATTGATAATATTATTGATTATTAAATTAGATGAACAATTCACATTTAAATCAGATTGATATAAATTTAAATATTGATTTGATATAATAAATGGTGAAAATGATAAATAATTATTAAATCTTATATGTTTTGAATTATTTTGTATTTTATTTTTAATAAATTTATTATGTAATGAAATCATTGATAATGTGATTACATAGCGATTACATAATTCCAAGAAAAACAAAAATATTGTTTTTCTAGTTAATGTTTAAATGATTTTTTTTTAATATTCAATGTATTACAATTAGTTTGTTTAAATATTTATGACATTACTATGCTGTATATACTTGTATATATATATATATATATATATAGATTACCCTTTATGAAATGAATTCTCTGTTAAATGGTTATATTTAAATTTTAGAAGAAACAAAAAACATAATTATAAATGTCTCATGTATAAAACTGATTTTCTTTTTAGTTTTTTTTCATTCACTAAAATATGATTGGTTATTAAATAGAAAACCGTTAATATATACAATGTATTGACTATTAAATGAACTAACTGTTTATTTAAAAAAAAGAAGGGACGAAATGAAGAAAACAGCAAAAAAAAACAGAAATAGAATTTTGAATCTATGGGGATGACAAATTGTGGAATATATATTAAATCTCTTACTTTTCTTGTTGTAGAATTATATTCTTTTGTATAAAGTGAAAACTATTTATATTATTAATAATGAAACTAGTAATGAAATAAAATGATAGATTATTTATTGTCGGTTTATTTATTTATATTTTGCCTTTTTAGGTTTTTTTTTTCTGGAGAAAAAAATATTATATATGGGATGAATTCGGTTACTTTTCTTTTGAAATTTTACTCTATGTATATAATATTTCTATTTACTTCTCATTTAATCATTCAATAATATCATATGATAAGAATCGGAAATGATTATATTTCATGCACTTATATCATTGAGTTCTTATGTATACAGCTTTGGTAAGAATTTAGTTTAGGTTAGTAATTTCAAAATATTAGTTTATTTTGATTAATATATTAACCAATAAGTGGTTTATATCTTTACTGTTATGATCAGTGAATTGAGAAAATTGGTGACGTTCAGTTTAAACTATCAATCACAAAGCGAATCAAAATATGATAATAATATTCTGTAATAATTTAAATAAATGCTTCGATAGTTAAAATCTGGCACAATATTAACCGACAAACGCATACACAAAGCTATATAAGTCTCAGTGAATCAAACTACAAAGAATTTTGTTCAACTTTACCAGTAAAAGTTTCAGAAGGTTATGCAAAACGTGAGAATCAGGAGAACTGACATAGCTTAAGATGACTACCTGGTTGTGGCCAAGATGAAACTGAAGTTAAAAAAAGCATTGGACAACCGGGAAAACAGCAGTACAAAGGCTCAATACAGCCTTCTTTCAAGATACTGACAAACTCAACAAATCCAAAATAACACTCAACAACAGTTTCCAAGCCCTACAAGATCCACCCAAAGAAGATGAAGCTACCACGGAGGACAACTGGAAAGAGGATTAAAAAAGCACTAACTTCAACGTGTCAGGAGATGCTGGGCCCCAACAAGCATCATCATGAGAAATGGCTCTCTATTGAAATCCTGGACATGTTTTAGGGGAAGAATGAACAAGAAAACAATAATTAACAACAGCCGAACGAGAACAGAAAACACCAAGACACAAGATGAATACACAGAAATAAACAAGAAAGTGAAGAGAAGCATTAGGACCGACAAGTAGATATATGTGGAAGACCTGACAACGACAGCAGAAAAAGCTGCTAGAGAATGATACATCGGACAACTGTAATGCACAACAAAGATACTGGTAGGGAAATACAGTAAACAAGAGAGATCGCTCAAGAATAAAGAAGGAAAGACAATCACTGAAATTCAAGAACAGAGAAACAGATTGGTGGAATACTTCGAAGAACTCTCGAATAGACCAGCTCCATTGAATCTAGTGTACACCAAAAAGGAACCTACGGACCACAAAAATTATTAAGGAAATGAGCATAGCCATCAAATATATTAAGACTAGGGAAGAAGCACCGGACTACGTATCGACCGAGAAACTGAAGTTGGACATATAAGTAACTGCAAACATGCTCCATGCTCTGTTCAGGAAGATTTGGGAGAATGAACTTGTACCACAGACAGACTGGAAAGACGAACAACCCTGTCAGTACCAGGAAATAATTTCAACAGAGTGTTGTTGAACCTAATAAAAGATTCGGTGGACGCCCAACTTCTAGATCAATAGACTGGATTATGTAAGGATCGGTAGTGCGCAGACCAAATCGGGACAATACGCATCATCGTTGAACAATCAGTTGAATGGAACTCGTCACCATATATCAACTTCATTGACTATGAGAATGCATTTGACAATGTGGATAGCAGATTATTGAAAGTTCTTTGACATTGTGGTGTACCTGAGACGATCGTCAATATCGTACGGATTTCATTAGACGGACTACAGTGCAAACTCATGTATGGAAGACAGCTGACAGATGCACTAAAAATGAGTACCGGTGACAGACAGGGCTGCTTACTCTCACACATCGTCTTTCTTCTGGCGTTTAACTGACTTATGAAGACCTGTGCAGACGTAATTACAAGGATTGGCAAAGCAAGGACAGAATTCCTACAGTTAAAGAACATATGGAACTCAAAACAACTGTCAACCAATGTCAAAATCAGAATCCCAAATACGAACGTCAAGACAATTCTACTGTATAGAGCTGAAACTCGGAGAACCACCACAATCATCACCAACAAGGTACAAGTATTTATCATTAACTGTTTACACAAGATACTCAATGTCCGTTGGCCGAATACCATCAGCAATAGCCTACTGTGGGAGGGAACAAACCAGGTTCCAGCTGAGGAGGAAATTAGGGAAAGACGTTGAAAGTGGATAGAACATACATTACGGAAATCACGAAACTGCATCATGGGGCAAGCACTAACTTGTAATCCTGAAGGGAAACGGAAAAGTGGAAGGCCGGAGAACACACTGTGTCGGGAATCGGAAGGAGACATGACAAGAATGAGGAGCAACTAGAAACAAATGGATAACATTACTCAGGACAGTGTTGGATAGAGAATGCTTGTGGATAGCCTATGTTCCTCCATGAAGGGTGACAGGCGTAAGTAAGTATAGTCAAGATCATTTGTTAATCAATGTATATTTCAATAAAAATATAATTCCAATAAAATGAACGTTTTCATGGTTTGAAATATAATTTAAGCTCAAGTTCTATTACGTTTTCAAAATTACGACATTATCTGTTATCGAATACGAATAGTATTTACCTAGAGTTTTACCATAAGCTGTTTATTTTATTATCTGTAAATTGTTTAATGAAAAATAAAATTTTCTTACTGATTTTGTCCGATGGTTGACAAATTCATCTAAGAAAAATATCAGTCTATGAGTAATTATATCAGTGGCCATTTTACTCTTATAGCTAAAACTATTTAATTGAGGCAACTTGAGATGAACCAGTTAAAGGAATATTATTCACTTTAAGTTCGTCATTCCATAGCAATTCGTACTCATTACTTTATGGTTTTTATCGATCGTTCAAGTGGGGATTATTTTATGATACAAATTACCTTCTAAGTATAAACATCACCTTCTACAAACCTAGTAGGTAGAATAAACCAAAGTATTTCAGCTTCCCAAAGTTCTTGTCAGCTATTGTATATGATTAAGTTAACTTTGTTATCAGTTAACCATTTATGACTAATAATGTTAGGTGATCTCGATAACATAAATCTGAAATTCAGGTAATTTTAATTCAAATCAGTGATGTAAATGTGTCGGGTTCTCTGTTAGGCGTGAAGTTCTTGAGCCTGATCACAGTTGTGATGCTGCTTGCTTAGTACCGATGGGTTGTAAATTAGGAGAATTATTTATAACGTGCCCTTATCAATTTCAGTATGTGAAGAAAGATGTATTTTGGTTTATGTGTTTATAAATTTGTCATTTTCAAAAAGCTATTCTTAATAACAAGTGCACAGTACATTATTCATGAAACATTTATTCCTGTTCCATCGTAGTTTTTTTATTTTAAAATTATATTCACTGATTTGTTTCTAGTTAGTTTAATGAACTCAGTTTGGAACAGGTTTCTATGACATATGTCTGCATCACTAAATAATATTTGAAATTCAGGTTTTACAAATTAAATCCCGGAAACAAACTAATATGAGCGTATTACCTATTAAGAGGAGCCAGAGACAGAAAAACTTTTAAATCAAGCTACTTGATATAAAACACTATGATCATTTGTCATAATCAAGTGATTTATTACTATAGTATTCAGTTATGCAAGTGAAAAACTCTGGATAAATTGGACAAAACAGTTTTACCAGTAGTTATCACTTTTGGTAAGTGCCAATAGGAAATTTATTCATCTGCAATTAGAACGGATCATTGAGATGATGGAAAATAGTTTTTGGTAACCATGGTAATATGTAAACTTACTGTCATAAGTATTTAAATCTTCGATAATGAAAATCAATGTTGTAAAATGTGAATATTTTTAAGACCTGAAACATTGTTTCGTATAATGTCATGTTGAACCATTTCAATCGTAAATTAAATAAATAAAATGCTTTATTACTATTACACGCATATTGCTAATAAAACAAAAATTCATGAGTTCTTGCTAACATTATATCGCTAATTTTAAATACTCAACTAGTCACTCAATGAAATTATTTGGACGTGTATTTATAGTTGATTACAATCAGCTTTATAGAACGATACCCTGATTCAGTACTAGACCACAATGGAAAACCTGGGAGCACTCTATGGCCGTTTCGTCCTACTATGGGACTCCTCAGCAATGCGCACCTACAATTCTGCCCACGGGATTCGGTATCGCGCGTGAACGCTTAATATCCAGACCACTGAGCCGGCATCAACTGGTGTTAATTTCTTACTTCCACCAATCCACGGAATTGAGACACTGTTCACCATTGTCTTCAATTAATTACTATTTCACAACAGACCCGATTGAACTCCACTAATCGCTAATATTTTGTTAAGAAAAAATTATTCTAACAGAAGTTTCGTAGATATAACACGAAGTTCGACGTTCTTCGAATGGGACATTTCCACCAATATTTTGAACGG